GAGCACGCAAGGGACGACGGGTTTTCACCCATTAGGCCCTTAAACTCAGAAAATTGCCTTTGCAGCAAGTATGTTTTCTGTCGTGAGTCTTCTACATGTCTTAAGTATTCTTGCAAAGCACAATTTTAAAGTTTTAACCGTATATATTTCACAAAGCCAAATTTTAACCGTATATATAGTTCACAATCGCTCTAAACTATACGGGTATCGTTTTATTACGGACAGCCTCCAACACCTCTCTAATACCGACACAGTGCTGAGATCCTTACAATATTATCAGTCGACTCTAAAATATTATGACAAAATATTAATCTACAGTTTAGAAAATATTGATGTGTCATGAGAAACATTCAATCTTACCATTTTTAAGAACATTGACAATAACTTTGACAAATCGCTGAAGCAATGATGTTATTATATCATCTTCACCCAATAAATCTGTCATCTCATTCTTGCATTTCTGCAGGACATTCATCGTAGCTTTGATTGTAACAAGACAATCCAACATGGCAGCAGTTTGTAATGCAGGAGTTCCTACAAGACTTAAACATTTACATAAAATATTAAACAATGTGTCGTTGAGGTTCTACAAAATAACAAGGATCAAGGCAAATAACTGGGCAAAACAAGGAATGCGAAAACATCTGAAAATATTGATGTTTCCCCAAGCGCTTCGCTATTTGCCCACCTGTGAACACTCTATTTAATATCTGACTCCGCGTTACATAAAAATCGATGTAGTAAACACGTGAAATGAAAATCTGTAACTAACCTCTCCCTATCAACTTGATATTCCAGTGCCATAATCAAGAATTTCAACACTAAAGATAACGATTGATAAACAAATTATTGGAATGCACATGGCCAAGAGTATGTTTGTGATGTTGTCTCTAAGTACCGCCATGTTGAAAGTTTGCTTGATCGTGCTATACCTTCATGGAGTGCATAACACCAAAAATAGAAAAAAATCCAAAAATAATTAAATAAACAACATTATTATATATCAATAGTCAAAGTCGCATTTTTCTAGTGTTTTATTGGTTGAGAGCATATCACGTGAGAGTGACGAAATTAGGCTGTCTCCCTCGCAACAGCGCGAGAGGGAGATAATACGTTATCCACCGGCGAATAACAAAAAAAATCACGTGCGCCATCACGTGAAGATGCGACCTTTGGACATGCCTAGTACGTAATTAAAACTTTCGCTTTGAGTAACTGCAGTGTAGCCAGTGTTTAACATCACGTTTTAACAATAAAATATTTCATGTATTTATGTTCATTTGTTCTTTAATTTGTTGTTTCTTTGACTATTGATATATAATAAAACACTTATTTACTGAGACCTCGGGAAAGCAGTGTGTTTTGTAAACCCTCGACCGTCGATGTTTCCCTCGGCTTCGCCTCGGGAAACATCGACGGTCTCGGGTCCACAAAACACACTGTTTCCCTCGGTCTCAGTAAATAAGTGATAAATGTTATAGAGGCATGTTTTTATTTATTTGTTGACTTAGCATGTCTTTGTTTATGTCTATAAACCTAAGACTAATGCATTTTCTTACTATAGAACCAGCATATAATGCCAAGGTACTGTACTATGCTTTCTACTAAACCTAGTATTCATAATTTTGTCAAGATCCCCGCAAGATCTAGACAACAAGACCTTAACACGATTTTGTTAGGTGCAACGGGTGAAAAATTATTGCGGGCGCATTCTTTTTGTGAAATTTTCAGATAATATTCCCATGCACCGTTGATAGCTATTGGCATGATATTACTGGATTTATCGAGACACGACCTTTGCCAAGCTTTTGCAAAATTTTGGTAAGACCTTGCAAAACCTTGCCAGGATCTCATAAAACCGTGGTCAAATCTTGTAAAATCTTAATACAACAGATATAAACTCACCATGACTCACCCTCAGCGACACACATTTCTCTCCTAAAAATAGTAACAGTTTTAATTTATCAAGTTTGTTCTTCGTTAAATTGTATATACTGTAGGTAAACGAAGTTTACTTGACTGAAAATTTGTCTTCTGATTAAAGTGATTTTATTGGAACGATAAATCAAAAGTCGTTATAAACTAGAGTGCCACAACCGTGCAATTAAGGTGGCTCCCTACAGTTACACTATAGATAAAAATATTTATATAGATCAAAAATCATCCTTGTGACTCGCGCGTGCAATCTTCGTTTGCCCGATTCGAACAGAACACGTATGTAGTTAACTGTTTTTTGTTGCATGCTATGCATATATGGTATGCAACTATTGTATATAGCTTAAAAATAGATCGAGGTATAAGTATTCTAAAAGCTTTGCTGTTTTTAATTTACATTGTTATTCTGTTATTTGCTGTGATTTCGGAGCCGTTGTGCTCGCACTGATGATTTATCAGGCTCAATTATCGTGAAATGCCACGCACTCAAAATATTAGCTCAAATTGAAACGGAGCCGTTGTGCTCACACTGATTATTTATGAGGCTCCATTATCGTGAAAGGCCACGCACAATATTTTACTTGATAGCAAATACGGCACATTTGACAAAGAATACCACAGACGCAAAACAAAGCCTTCGTCATCGACTACACTTTCAACTATAGTGAATAACACGAGGCAGCAACGGAAGGGAGTGAGAGGGAGATATAATCTGTCCAGTTTAATCAACTTTCAATGATTTCTGCTTGGTTTTATACATCATTCACATCCTGGGCGCAAAATCGAAAAATAGAAATTTCTTGTGTATATAAACAAAAGGTAAATTACATGGCATTCCAGTATATAAGATGACAAGATGTAAGAAAACTTCCTGCGAAGATATTTTGTTCAAAATGTCTGGCAGCGGTGCTGCGGGACATTTTCTATGCAGCATTGTTTTAATAACTGGTTTCGTTCTAAGCCTATCCCGTTCTAGCCTATCCAGGCATGAACAACTGTATATACCGTATTATGCATATTCACCATGCATAGATATCTTATATAAACTATAGATAGCGCATCTCTTTTAGTACAATTGAAGCCAAGAATATTCCAGCGGTTACCCCCATTTGAATAGATGGCGGCCATGTTGAAGTTTCCCACTCGCTCATAAACGCTTAAAAAACAACAATAACTTTCATCATTTGAATAGTTTGAAAATGTATTTGGAATAGGTTTAACTTAATGTTTAAGTTACCTGTTTAAGAAATAGAAAACATATACGAGTCTTCTCATTTCGTGGGAATATCCTGAGTCTGCAATCACGGCTTCAATTTTTGAATTGCAGAATTAGATGCACTATCTAGTATATAAAATATCTATGCATGATATTCACCTATTGGAAAATTTTCCAGTAAAGAGCAAACAGTGTCTACATGCTTCCTGAAATTTACATCTTCAGCATTCTATAAAGAAAAAAAGCAATAAAACTTTCAGTGTCTGGGACATTTATTGATTGCTCTGCATTTTAAATGCAGTGATTCAACAATAGGATTGACCTTCACTGATGTGATTCTTCTTTTTGTTTTTTGAGAACGGTTTTAGTAACTTTAGTTTATTTTTCTCCGTATATAAACCGAGTTTGTAGTTAATATAACGAAATAACCATGCATGTATATTAAAGCGTTGCAATTATTCTACGATTGCTATGTTGCATTTGACCTTGAGGCGTGCATAAATTCAACATTTGTTCATTGTTTCAAACTTGCTGTTTATTGGATGAAATTTGACGTTAGTTGGGGCGAACCTTATTGTCGTTAAGGTAAAACTTCTTCTATACCAAAGAGAATGCGAGGTTGTTTAATACTTTGTCCTGCATGTAAGATGAAATTCACAATGTTTTGCCGTACTCTACTTCAAACTTGACGCCATCTCGCTCAGAAATACAATATAAAGCATGTGAACAAATTAATCGAATTAGTCCGGGAAACATTGTGAATTTCATTTTACAACGTAAACGACCTCGATTCGGCAATGCGTCCGGAAATTTTGAAATACTTTAGACTAAATAACTCAAAATGTTTTAGCGCCCCTAAGGAATTAGACCGGGTGAAAGTTAACGTTTTTCTCAGTAAAATCGAAAAATTGGGCTTTTAGCAGCCTTTAGGCGTATAGGCATCAAATTGTGCTGATAGACAAACACGAACACAAACACGAACACGAACACAAACACATGCACATAACACATACGAACGCTGACGAGAACATAACCTCTAACATAATTAAGCTGGAAAGACAATTCATTGCATTACGGTGGTGTTATGAAAAGAAATCTAACCGAGCGAAATATAGAGGATAATTATGTTAACTCACCTTTTTAGTATTTTCATGTATTGCAGTTATATTCACCAGTACGTCAACCATAGCTTTGTTAAGGTGTTCCAAGGCTTGTTCTTGAGCACAACCATTTAGACTTTGAAAGAAACTAGTAGGCAATATACAGTCTGACGTAAAATCCATCAATGAACACATTTTAGCCGATCACATGATCTCTTAATTAACTGAGGTGTGATGAGAACTGGAGACAACGTGCGGTTAAATCCAGACTTGGTAACCTGGCCGCCATGTAAATGTACCAGAGCCTGGGATCTACCCTTAATATACCAATTGTTCCTCGATTTTCGTTCATTTTAGTGAATTTTTCCACCAAAGAAAAGTTCAGGACTAAAATCGTAACATCGATGGAAAACGAGGATGACAGTTGATGAAAATTTGTACAAGAGTTTTCTCAATTCTCATGTCCCAGTCAAACGAGGACAAGAGTTTCAGGGGAGTTGAGGAGGGCTGGCTGGATACTACCGAACGAAAACTCTCCTCCAAATACGAACTAGCTTGATTAAAGATGATGAGAATTTATAAGGGTCGATGAAAGTTGTGGGTCAAATGTGAGCAACAGATCATTAACTCGCATCCTGGTTTGACCGGGCTGTAAGATAGCTCGCAAATACCTGTACCCTTTGCAACATGGAAAAATTTACAACCTCAAATTCCAATTGGAAGAAGAGTTCAACCTTTCAAATATAGACGCAGTGCAGTTGAAATACACCATAAACCGAAATGGCATGTTTTATTCACCTCCTAATCAAAACTACAGGAATTCCTGTGTAAATTATAACCAACAAAATTATCTTCCTCGCAAATAGACTTGTTAAAAACGAACTTTTTTACTGTTGTCAACATTCTTCTCCAATTTTCGCTATAAAGCCAAAATCAGAGTTGCCAACGTTTATAGTCTAAATCCTTATTCATAAATTAAATGCATATACTCTAAAAAAATCCCAGTTGGCAGGTTTTAACACAAAATGCCATTAAACAAATTTTGGTGTACACTTTTGGACGTCCGTCTAAAAGAGGTAAGCACGGTGGCTGGACAAGGTATTTAATGAAAACACCTACATGTAGCTTCCAACAACTTTTACTACTACAGGAAAATGTATTTACCTTACAATAGTTCTTCTACAGGGATTTTTGGCATCACAATCAATGAAGATATAGCATAACACTTTAATAAATATCCCCATTGCGGCAGGATTTATATTGTCTGGTAATAGTTTCTTCCATTCATCAATAGCCTTCAAACGACATTAAGACTTTAGGAAACATTACATGCAAATAAAAGATACGTTTTATGGGTACAGACTCGTCCTCAGGGGGTACAGACTCGTCCTCAGGAGCACAGACTCGTCCTCAGGGGTACAGACTCGTCCTCAGGGGGTAAAGACTCGTCCTCAGGGGTACAGACTCATCCTCAGGGGTACAGACTCATCCTCAGGGGTACAGACTCATCCTCAGGGGTACAGACTCATCCTCAGGGGTACAGACTCATCCTCAGGGGTACAGTGCATTTTTAAATGATTAAATTCAGGCGCAAAATATATGGGGCTTCAGTGTCGTCACATTATAAAAGCGCGAAACATATGGGGCTTTGTTGGCAAGCGCCTTTCACATGTGAGATTGTGGTTTCGATTCTGCTTCTTGTGTTATAAAAAGTGTCTATTGTTTTGTGTTTTATTAAAATGGTCTATTTACTATTACAAAATAATTCTCATGCACCTAAGTTGGAAAAACTCTATAACTAATATATTCTGTTGGATAATTTAATGGTTACAGCAGTGGTCAAAAAGTCCGAAAATGCAAATTCAACCTCGTTTGAGATTTTAAATTTTCTTCGGCATGCAATTGCTGTTTTATTTGAAATACATGCACGCATGCATTGGGATTAAATATAACTAAAGAATGCTGGAAATGAGTTACTTCTCATAAATTCAGAAACCAAAATATAAGACATGTTCAACAAATTGTTTCATAAGATTTTTGCTTTCCTATCCAAAATTACGTAAGTTCTAAAAGAAATTATTTCAACCAAAATAATTATCAAATACCTTTTTTACACTTGCAGCTTGTTTATTCACATCTTGGAAATCAACGGAAGTCAACAGCAACTTTGCAATCGATGAACATTCTGAACCTTTTTGAATACCTACATACAATGAAATTATTAAGTTACAGTTAGCAAGACAGTATAGTTAGTATACAATGCTATTAAAGCCTAGTCTACGATCACTAAGAGTTTATGTGAACACGATTTATATCCCACAATGCAGTGCAACTAGTAAACAAGATTACGGACGATCTGAGCACACCGAACAGAGACGAAATTCGATTTTAATGTGAACAATACGTCGGCGAATAATCGGCAGACAGTCGCAGACATCTGCGATATATGTGAACTAGGCTTAAAGCTATGGGTATCTCCTGTCGAACTAACGACAATTTAGGGTAGCCCTGGTACCACAGAGCCATGGGTGGGAGGGTATGACAATTACTGACAATTATTAAAATCTTGTTTATATAAAAAAATACTAATTACGTCCTCACTACCTACAATCCTGACAAAAATTATCGTGGACAGCGAGTGCGTCAAACAAAAATAGATCTATTTCTACATAATTAATCCGCCAGAAAATTTCTCCCCCTCCTACCCCCAATTCAATGTTGGTATTTTGGTAAATGAAACTTTTAAAATTTGAA